AGGAACATTTGTGAAAAGACTACTAATGTCAAAAGAACACATGAAAGATGTTTCGTTTTCGATGTTCAAGTTTTGCATGAACTCAGAGAACGTAAAAGAATCCTTGATGCAATGTTTTGAATATTTTTGAAGAACAGGGTCCAAAACTTCAGAAAGCCACTTAGCCAGTTCGTGTTGTGCTGAGCCAATCATAGACAAGATAGGTCTAAGTGGGACGTTCGGCTTGTGTATTAAAAGTTTGGTCCGCAAAAGTGCCCAGTTTATTTGAAACTACCATGGATTGGTAACACTTCCTTGCGATTCGAGAGTCAGATTAGGCAAGCCATAACTAATTGTTTCTTTGCTGTCAATCCTCGGATTGTTTACAGCACTAGGAGAGCCCTTCCATCCATTCAAAAGGATTGCGTTCCTACCAAACAAAAAAGTTCCGTCATTTATGAATTTACGTGCCAGTGTGATTCTGGCTACGTAGGGCGCACAACCCAAAGATTGGGGGATAGGATAAAACAGCATGTTCCTTGCAACATACGAAACAAAACTGCCCCTCAAAGAGAACAGCCTCCTCGATCTTATAGGTCTAGAAACACTGTTAAAACAAGTGATTCTGCCATTGGTCAACATCTTTTAGACAACCCAGATTGTGCAAAACTCTATAATGACGACATGTTTCGGATGATTGCAGAGCCCAGTCGTCCTTCCATCCAGCAGTTTTGGAGTAAATCTACATAAAAACGAAAAAGCCGCCATTTTGTAGACAAAAGGAGTTCGTTTTCTCTCTTGGACTCCATTGGTAATTTTTCTTTAGGCTCGCGGCACTGATTGGTCAACTATACCGGTCTTGTGCTTGCGTTTTTCTGATTGGCCTATTTCGATCCACAACTGGGTATATATTTTTCCATCGTGTTTTTTCGGAACCTATTCTGATGTTTTATGCTCTGAGGAGTGTCAGACGAAAAAGCTTTAAGTATGTTGTAAAATGTTTGCATTTTTCAAAGCCATTTTCAAAGAGAATTCTCAAAATCTGGCTCTGCTTCGTTTAAACAACCAAGATGCCGTTATTACGATCAACGAACGTTCCTTCGTGATGTAATAACAAATCGACAGACAATAAGTAATCTTGCACTCCCATCATCATCTCCTCTATCACTCTGGCCATTAGATTTGGTAGGCAAATCTTCCCCTGCTACTTCATTCACATCAAACAGCAGCTACGAAGCAGATGAATTTCGGCCTATGGGACCTAGCTTCGAAACAATTAGCAGGAAAGCTAGCACTGCTGCACAAGGAAAGGCTAGCTCAGTAAAACGAAATAAAAGGGCAGCGGATATGGACCCAGTAGAGAGTTTTCTCAATGAAAGCATCCAGAAGAAGGCAAGGCCAAATGATGATGATCCTGACGATCTGTTTTGCTGTAGTCTTGTGGCTACACTGAAAAGATTGCCACAAAAGAAAAACCAAATGGCAAAACTCAAAATACAACAATTACTTTTTGATATTGAATATGATGAATAATGTGTTTAATTTTTTTTTAATAAATGAAACGTATATCTATGTCTATGTCCTTTTAGCATGAATAATTTCCCACTGCCAGGGTACCTGTCCGGCTTCAGAGTTGAAATATTGACAGAACAAATCTCTGACTCTTTTTGCTTCTTTTGAGTAATTGTTAGAGCCAATCCTACTCACTGGAGCAAGGCCTGTGTCACCTTCAACAATCCTTCTCCAATCGCCTTGTCTCTGGTTACATGTGCCGTCAATATCAGCAAAACCTTCAGGGCAATATTGGCTGTTCTTGAATTTTTTACTTTTCATCAGATAATTATGCAAAGCAACTGATGCCTTTGTGCAAGATTCTACGTGTTCAACTTTGGCATTAATTGGTCGACTAAAAATGCGAAATCTAGCCGTTAAAATGCCAAATGCATTTTCAATAATTCTTCTTGCACGACTAATTCTATAATTAGCAATGACTTTATCCAGTTCCATTTTGCTCTCTGAGTATGGTTTTACAATGTTTATTCTTAGTGGAAAAGCATCATCTGCTACAAATACGTACGGAAATTTATTTGTAGTTCCACTCAACATTCATGGCACAGGGACAGGCAGAAGATTGTTTGTGATGCTATGAACTATGTTACTATTTGCAAAAACACCAGCATCACTTTGACGCCCTGCTTCACCAATATCTACCATGAGAAATTCATAGTTTGCATTGCAGATAGCAAGAAGAACGATCGAAAATGTTTTTTTATAGTTAAAGAATAAAGAGCCACTTCGTGCAGGGGCTATAATGTTAATGTGCTTGCCATCCATGGCACCGAGGCAATTGGGAAAGTTCCAGCTACTTTCAAATTCAGAGGCAACAAGCTCCCACTCATCAACTGTTTTTGGAACTTTCATGAAGCCTTCCCTTATCAAAATGTCCAACAATGCATCACATGTCTCTGGTGTTAATCTACCAACTGTTGTCTGGCTTATTCTGTAGCTAGCTGCAAGGCTTATGTGAGAATCACCGCTTGCCAAGTACCTTAACGTAACGCACATCCTTTCTCCAGGAGATATTGCTTCCCTGTGCACGCTGTCTTTGACAATCAACGGAGCTACCCAGTTTGTCAATCCCTCAAGTTGAGAGGGAGTCATCCAGAACATTTTGTAAAAAAATTCATGATCATGCAGTCGTGTTTCCCTAACAAGATTGTTATACTCTCCCTTCTCCTTTCTTTCTGCAAATATTCTTCAAACCCAAAACCGTTTTCTATTTTTTTCACTGGCCTAAGTTTTCGTCTTCGATGCAGCAAAATCAAAAGCTCCTCACAAGACAAGTTCATGATGCAAATGATTTATTTCGAAAAAGAAATTTCGCAGAGAACTGGAGATTTGGAGAAATTTTTCGCGGGAAATATTTCGCAGCAAAATTTCGCAAGAATTTTTCTCAATAGATTGGGCTTTATATGGGAAGTAAAAGTATCACTGTCACACATAACATTACACACTTGACATCGAGACTTGCCACATGGAGTACAACCCCTATTATGCGTGGTCCCTGCCCCCTCATTATAAAGTTTCGCCCTAACTAGTAAATCTTTAAGGTTCTTACATCGTTTAAATGATATTAAAGGTGGCTGAGGAAACACCTTCCTATGCTCTTCCGATATCGTCAGCATAGAATGGAGTCTGCCGGCCACCTTGCCCAAATTATTCAAGGCTGGATGGTAAGTGGTAACCAATGGAACCCGCCCACTCCCATTGTGATCTTGTTTCCCATTAGCCTTATCCAGTAATGTGACCCTATCCTGCTTACGTGCCTTATCTATCTGTTCTGTTATAAGTGGTTCCTCATACCCCCTTGCCTTTAACCATCCAGCCAAATCCCTTAACCTATCCCATAACTGGCGATCGTCCGAACAAATCCTACGTAACCTTAAATCTTGACTATAGGGTATCGCCTTCTTGGTATGCCATGAGTGACAAGACTTCTTATGTAAATACTGTGTATCAGTAGGTTTACAAAACAAGTCTGTCGTTAGGTCTCCCCCCTCACTTACACTAACCTTAACGTCTAGAAAACTTATACTCTACCTGGAATGCTCCCCTGTGAACTTAATGGTATCGTGGCTACTGTTAAAAAAAAGTTGATGAAGGTCAAAAAAATTTGTTATCTAAGCAAATTCTAACTTGCGAACAAGAAATTTAGAACAAAATCAATCATAGCATGGGACAGGTTTAAAGTGACAAGATGTGATTTTGAAGTTGTTACAAAAATAATCCAGCCATTAAAGCACTTTACAGAATCAGTTGGTTTAGTGGCTTCTTTTGCATGTTCATGGTGTATATGTCACTCGGCAACAGGTTGAAAGGGTTTTAGGCAGTCAATGTATGTAGTTGCAAGTGTTGCAACAAGCTGGCTTCTTTTGCATGTTCATGGTGTATATGTCACTCGGCAACAGGTTGAAAGGGTTTTAGGCAGTCAATGTATGTAGTTGCAAGTGTTGCAACAAGCTGGCTTCTTTTGCATGTTCATGGTGTATATGTCACTCGGCAACAGGTTGAAAGGGTTTTAGGCAGTCAATGTATGTAGTTGCAAGTGTTGCAACAAGCTGGCTTCTTTTGCATGTTCATGGTGTATATGTCACTCGGCAACAGGTTGAAAGGGTTTTAGGCAGTCAATGTATGTAGTTGCAAGTGTTGCAACAAGCTGGCTTCTTTTGCATGTTCATGGTGTATATGTCACTCGGCAACAGGTTGAAAGGGTTTTAGGCAGTCAATGTATGTAGTTGCAAGTGTTGCAACAAACTGGATATAATTTCTCCTCGCCAATCTTTGATCTTTTGCAGATGGTGAACACACTCTAATTTGTTTCTTCAGTGTACTATCTTCACTGGGAACAACAGTAGAGAGATGATTCAATTCCCAAAATTCCCAAGACCCAAAATTCAATTCTTGGCACACATTACAGAATTCCAGTAAATATATTTTCTTTCATTTTCTTCTGTCATTTTGTGACACTCAATGGGAAGATCTAAATTTCCATTGAGAGGGGGTGCTAGCAACTGGCATGGTTTTTCATCATCATTTTTTTCATGCCCAGTTGAAGGAGTCTCTCTTTGGGCAATAGCTTCTAACTGCGGTTTGGATGCTGTGTGGTCATTTTTGCTTGGAACAGCTTTTTGCTCATTTCTAGGGCAAAGTTGTCAAATTCAACTGACATTTCTGCAGCAAATTTTTTAATGTTTGGAAACTTGGGAAAATATTTGGTTCTATCATCTTCTAAGTCCATGCTTTGGCTTTGTTCATCCTCCTGGCCAGATTCCCTCTGTAAATCAGACTTACCTGTAGAAAAAAAAATTGGCCCAGGGGATATCAATGCCATTTGCCAGTGCTTCCA